CCCCCCCCCCCCCCCATGTATCTATCTGTCTATTTATGGGTGTCTGTATCTTGCATTGGCCTGAAAATGTACAATAAATGGAACATGCAACTAGAAGAGACCCACGTCCAGCAGTACCTCCAACAATTGTCCAAGTGCGTGTGTCCCCAGTGTATCCTGAAGTAAATCCCGACCAATTACGAAGGCCACATCCAAATCTCATGATATTGACATTGATGAAATAACTCCTTTAACGAAAAAGACCTGTTGAAAGCCGATACATCAGACGATCAGTTCACATCAAGATACCGGAAACATGGATAATTGCATCAGATGAGGAACTGTCAGAGTGTGCCTTCTTTAGTAAAGAAAGAGATGGTGCTGTTTCAAAATGTTCAGTCTATTAGTCAAGTTTTTAGTTCCTCTACTGCCGTTCCCATCTCTTTTGAATCAAACAGATCACTGAAACCAGTAAGTCGAGAGAGCCAACTCACAGACTTGTTTCGGTTTGTTAGGTCAGAAGGAAAAACATGACAGAAAATTAAAATTTTTCATCAGACAAATTGTTCTTTTGAACTCTCCAAAATATGGGCGACTTTGCAGTGTTGCAGATTTGATCCTTGTGTTTAGGTGGTTTGCAAGGTCATATGCACAGAATCAATGGTAAGAATAACTACGACAAAGGGCAGCTTTTTGTGTGCTTCGATTAATGTATGTGTCCAGTGGAATGTTTGTTGTTTTCTAATTGTCCACTAATATATCATATTACTGCTTGTTTTATATTGTTTGTGTTTGTGGCATGTGCTTGCAAATATTGTAAAGCCATGCTTGATCAAGATTTTAAATATTGTTCTTTATGTTTCCTGATTAATAAATACCCTTGCAAAGATATCAACATAGTTACTACAGTGCTATACATTCATCGTCGCTATTAAAAGTTCTCTTATTATTTTTAAGTATTTGCTTTATATTTCAGTTAAATCATTAATAGTTATGTTCGATTCCCTTTTGAAAGTAATAGTTGCGTGAAAGAAATGATACATGTATACTGTAAATGCCTTAATTTTGGACACTTGTTTAATCAAACACACGACATGGGGCTCTCACACCCTTTCATTTCTGCAATACACATTGTCTGGGCTGGGCCCCAATAGCTGTGACCTACTTTGGGTGATATGGCCTGTACTCTGATCATCTTGGCTGACCACCTTTTAGTGGCCCCCACTCCCCGCCCCTGGCCTTATACGTCCTAGTAGGCTGGCTCTAAAGGCTAAAGAACATGCAGATACAATTGACCTCAGTTGGAAAGGGCAACGGGGAATTAGGTACAACCAATTTACATGCACTTAACGATGTACATTTCAGAAATAATTTTCTAACTCGTTAATCCCCAGGTTCGTAGATGACCTGCCTCGGAATCATACTGTGAACATCTTCAAACATATTTTGACTTGGGATTGAATACAATTTGGTGACCATTATACCCCATCATAATTGTCTACACAAGCTGGAAGCAGGATATTATAAAACAGAAAGGTCTCACCAGATAGTGACAAACATGGCACAGGTCGATGCGGAAGCTCTGTTAAAGGCCAACAAAGCTTTGGTGGTTATTTTTATCCTAGGAATTTTTGCATCCAATATTTTTCTACTTTTCAAAATACTCCGGAAAGGGCGGCTTCTTCAGAGTCAGAGTAAATTCCTAGTTATGACCCTCGCTGCGGGTGACATTTTCCTGGCGTTGTTTTCCTTGGTTATCTTAGCTCGTCAGCTTTATGAAAGACATATCCATATCTCATGTAATACACTAATAGTTTCTATGATGTACTCATCATGTTTCCTCCCGTTTGTGTATGGAGTTGGTATAATTGTCCTCTGTGGGGAACTCGGTTTCCGGAAAAAACTTCGCTCTTTGATTCCCAGTCCTTACGTATCGTCCATACTGGTGGCCGCGGTACCTTGGATTGCTGGACTCATCCTGATATTGCCCTTATATTTGGCTGGCTTTGATTATGTGAGCTGTTCGTATGGTGATTCCATGACAATTAATCGGGGAAGGGCTATTTATGTCGTTGGCATTGTTCTTCCATCAGCTTTGGCTGTGATCTTCGCTCTCATGAGCAGCTGTAGGAAAGGTGATGCAATATCTGAGTATTACGACTCTCCTCAATCTCAAGATGTCGTGATTAGTCAGGCAGTGACAACACATAACACTCAAGGATTCCCACAACAGCAGTACTATCCAGGACCTCCACAACAGCAGTACTGTCCAGGACCTCCACAACAACAGTACTATCCAGGACCTCCACAACAACAGTACTATCCAGGACCCCCACTAGAGAAAAACGATCCTGTGCCACTACCAGCAACAGCACAACAGCCATACTACCCTGCCTCTCAGCCACCTCCTTACGAAAGGGTTCCACAAGACCCTGGTCTCAAACAACCCGCCTACCCTCCACAACCGATGCACCCTACACAAGCTGTGATCCAAACACCAGTGAGCTCGACACAGCCACCCTCAGATCAACAACTGTTAGCGGCAGTCAGGAATGAGCAAAGTACCTTGGTCAAAGTTGCTGTTCTTTACGCTATTTTATCATTGCCTATGGCTCTCTTCACACTTTGCTACACCCTGAACAAGGACCGTATTGCCATAGATCAACTCACTTACACCATTTTGATCGAAGTATTTAAGTGGATGCTTTATCTCCGCTCCATTGTGACCCCTTTTGTTTGGATAAATAAGGAGAAACCCTTTGCTTAAAAGGGAAGTTGAGACGCAGTGGTGCAGTTAGTTACAAACCAAACAGACTTACTGAAGCTGATAAATGTTTCATTCCAATTGGGGTATAATGTTTTCAAGAGATTTTTTCAGCAGTGTGTCCTGCAGATGGAATAAGGTTTCGTTACTACACATGTCTCTCTAGCGTTTACACCACAGATAAAACCCCCTACAAAATCAGCCAATTTCATTGCTGCATAACAAGTTGTAATCCCGGATAAGGGCGCATGCATACTACAGCAACTGTTCCGCTTCCGTCTGTCCATGTAACAATAGATAGGTGACGAGTACCCCATGTTCACAACCCCACCGTGGATTCGTTTGTTAAAAAGCCTTTTTCGTCTGAAGTAAACTGAGCTCATCGACTGGTCTATTATTTTTAATTCTCGGGAATTGACGGACTAAGGTGAAGTACTATTATAATTGGAATATTTTGGCTTCAGAATTTCAATCTGGAGTATGAATATAATTATAATATCACATTTAACCATTTCAATTTTTTAAAAAGATAACCTGGCTGAACTTGCCCCACGACACGAGGCTTGACTGAAGAAATTGCATGGCTACCGTAAGGCCACGTGTTCACGAAAGCAGAAAAACCCTGATTTATTTTGTGGCCTTTTGGCCTGTTCGTTTCGGCGAGTGAACCGACAGTTCAGAAACGACCCGACAAGATTCCTGGCCAAAAGGACTACTTATTTCCCCCCAAAAGTTGACGCCAACCATGATGCTCCAAAGGGTAGGGGATTTTATAGTTATAGGCCACATTTTCTCGGCTTAAAATTAACATAGTTGGTCCATATTATTTTTTTTGGCCTAAAAACTAAAATTAGAGGGGTCATTTTGGCCGAATTTTAGCTGACGTCGTTTGTGAACGGTCCTTTGTATTTTTTCGTACCAGTGACGTGTAAAAAAAAAAAATTAACTTGTATGTCTCCACAAAGCCCGACTAAAATGCTGTGTACTGCATTCTGGCCGGCACGTGTTTTGTCGAGAGACGGAAGAGTTACGTTCGGGCTTTTTCTTGTTTGGTGGACACGCGGCCTAAAGCAAACGAAACGGACGGGTGTCAATTTCCTTTAATTGGCGGACACAGGACTTCGTTTAAGTAAGAGTTTTACGGCGCTTGCAACACAGTTAGATCTAGGTCATAAAAGTGCCGAAGATTAGAAGTGTTACGAGAGAGCAACAGGACAAAATAGAGAAAAGGGCAATAGATGTTTGATAGGAAAGAATGACCAAACCACACCAGAGCACACACCAAGCACCCGCGCGGGACTTCGGTCTAAACAATTGCTGCTGAAATAATAGAATTAGATAGGTCCATCCCTGTGACGGAAGGACGCAGGCGGAAGAGGATATTTTTTTGGTCTGGAAATGTAGTAAGAATAAAGGATTTTTAAAGTTACAGTTTGAAGACTCATGTCAAGACTTGTTTAAGACCAAAGTCTATAGTGATGAATATCCAGGGGTGAGAACCGCAGGTTCATTGCAATGCACCAAGTGTGTAAAATCTTTACAATGGACTATGATGAAGTGTTAACGATAACTTCTTTGTCTAAATTTCCACGTTTTCTTTTTTGGAAGTTCGATTATGACGTGACGAGATGACAAGAGAAAATCGTCTCAGTTTTCGTACGTTTAGATTATTTCACGAAGACCTCGCAATTGATACGTTTTCACAAAGAAACAAAAGTTCAGGTATTAGGTATCTGTACTCTGTTGAGGACACTGCGTTGCCACAAGTAGGACTTCCTCAATGTTTTGTAACCTTCAGTAAAAACCTGCAGTACATAGTAGGTGCTTGAAGATTTTTACTGTAGCCTGTTGTGTTTACCCTATTTTGCTAAAATATTATCAGATTATTGTTTTGTAACGTGACTTTCGTTTCATATAACAGGTGTATAGCTTGCACCTTTCGTTGTGTTTTATTAAAGTGCACATAGAAGCGTTTTTGAGCAATGTATCTTTATTTATTCAGCTTTAAATGTGAAAGAAATTGTATTTTTTTTATATTGTTTACATGCTTCTTTTCACATTTTCTGGATTTTTTCTTATTCTCG